CGTAGTATTAGATGTCCAATAAATTATAATGGAATTTGAGCGTCGTCAGATATCGTTTTGAGCTATATAGTAAATACACAGAAATAGCTGAAGCCAAAGATGCATTCACTGCAACGAAATTACCCTGTAAGGCGTGCTCTATTGGTAAAACGAGGAAAATAGACAACGAGGTTGAGATGTACAGATGGTGTGGATAAGGATGCCAGGAAAATCGATGTGGCAAATTAGCACCAAGCTGGAAAGAATAGGCCAGAATGAAGAAATAAGCTGAGGAACGTTGAGGTCCAACCAGGATCCTAGCATCGACGATGATGATGATGATGATATGCAGTCGAAACTCTCATTAGTCTATGTCTGATTGAGCGCCCGACGACAATCTACAGTTGTTAAATTGCTCTTCGAGTTAGTTTAATTATATGTTTAATTTATTAAGCTAGGTCTCTAATCGATTGTAATGATTCTTCAGAGGCCGAAATGCTATGATAGGACGTTTGTTAAAAATAATTTTTATAGTGGCACATAGACATATGGGTGTATAATAATCGTTGTAGTTACAATATCAGCTATAGGTAAGAAATAAGGAAAGGGTTCATATCTAGCACCCATATTTTAAAAAAATGACAAACATTATAACCTTGATAGATTTCAATCTATATATGCACACAATTAATACAAAGGATAGTGTAAGCTAGTAACCCTAATATAGCAGGAAGTGTACAGGGAAATCGGTAAAGCTCATGTTCTCGAATTTATTCTTTGGCCCGCTTCAAACTCATCGGAAGTAAATATTAGAGATTGCAACATTCAACAAGTTAGGGAACAAAAGTAGCAAAGTCTCTTATAGCTACAGCCCAGGTGCCCAGCATCTGCCTCCAAGAATTAATTTCCGAGGCTACTTTCCTCTATTTTCCACTCTTAATATCTATTTAGCATTGGTTCTCTCTTCCTATATCCACCTCTTCCTTGGTTTTCCTACTGACCTACGTCCCACCACAGTTTCTCTAAGCTTTCTACTAGGTGTTTTGTTATTACCATATACATAATGTACGGAATGGTTTAGGGGGATAGTTAAATCAAAGTTTGGAGCCTTTATCAGGACTTCCAGAGTTTCAATCGCACATGAGTCTCCAGATCATTTCACTAGTACTATCTACTATTAAGTAAAAGTTGGTTTGGATTTAAAGATGTTAAAAGAGGAAATTAAAATGGTATTAAAAATAGCAAAAACAACAAAGCAGTAGATCCAGACCAAATCCTAGTAGAAAGTTTAAAATACATAAATGACACCTTAGATATTATAGTAGGAAATACAAACTGTAAAAACTGCAATGAATACAGAACAATATCAATAATAAGTCATGAACTCAAATTATTTTTGAAAATAATACATGGTCGTACAAATAAAAAACTTGAAAAAGGAATAGATGATAGTCAGTTTGGGTTCAGAAACGGACTTGAAACCATAGAGGCAACATTTGTATTTAATGTGACAGCTCAAAAATGCATAAATATGAATGTTGATGTGCATGTTTGTTACGTTGATTATAAAAAAGCACTCAACAAAGTAAGACATAAAAAATAAGTCAAAATTTTAAAGAAAAATCATGGACCAAAGAGACTAAAGAATGAAAACAAACCTTTACTGGAATCAAAGAGCACAAATTGTAATAGATAACCAACCTAGATCAGAAATTGAAATCAGGAGAGGAGTTAGGCAGGGATGTATTATGTATTCATTACTATTCAACGTATGTAATGAATCCATTTTTGAAGAAGCGTTACTACCTGAAAGTAAAGGAATAATAATTAACCGAAGAACTATTAACGACAAAAGATATGCAGATGATACCGTGATTATGGCAACCTCTGCTGAACAACTCCAACTACTACTAAGCAAGACAAGTAGTTTCTGTGAAAAAATATGAGACATTTGGAAGATGTAGCGATAGAAAGGGTTGAAAAATACAAATACCTGGGAACCTAGATCTCAGGAAATAATAATCAAACCACAGAAACAAGAGCCAGGATAGAAACAGCAAGAATTGCATGTGTAAAAATGAAAGCAATTCTTTGCAATAAAGATCTTAAAGTAGAACTGAGAGTAAGAGTTCTGAGATGTTACGTGTTTTCAATACAGCAATATGGACTTGAAAGCTGGACATTGAAGCAAGAACGCATAAATAAGCATACAGTCATTTGAAATGTGGTGTTATAGAAGAATGCTTAGAATAGCATGGACAAAGAAGAAAACGAACGCGCAAGTAATGCAAGAAATGGGCAAAGAATACAATACAAATAATAAACACAATAAAAATAAGTCGAAAGAAAATGCAAAAAAGTATTTTTGAAGTGTGTATATTTTAGGCAATTCCTAGCTGAGCGCTTTCGGCTTTACAAAGCCATCATCAGAGCTATGCTACAATAAAATGTTCTTATAAGTACTAATTGGTAAAGATTATAATTTTTAACTTACGTCAATTTTTTAAATACCACTACAAAGGAGAGATCTCATTTCCTTATATTTCAAAATTATGATTTTTTTGGTTGTTGAAAATCTTAAAACATATAAAAAACATATAAAAAGCCGACACTGGACTTCACAAACACGTTAAAAAATTGAAAAAAAAATTTTGTCATGGTACGGGTGTAAGAACCCGACCATTGATTGATGTGAGAAGGTAGACAGAATAGAACTAATGAAATCAAATGTCGGTCCTTTTAAACGATTTTTCAAAAGTGACAGTTGACAAATGTCATATATAGGAAATAGAGATTGTTTTTTAATTCTTACAAAATTATTTAATAGTTTGGAATTACTAATAGTCATCAAAGACTTTCTAAAAATTAAGTTTTTAAATTAAATTTTATGTGTTCATCACATCATACAGAATGACATTAGTTTGTAAATTCGCTCAAGTCATTGCTCAAGGTCATTGTATGTTCAATCTGACAGCCATCCTTAAGAAACAAGGGCTCAAATTGTTCAACAACAATATAAAGAAGAAACATGGTATTAATGTTACGTTATCTGATACTTAAGTGTATTGAGAATTGTATCTCTTGATGGAAATTTGTAAGAAATTTGCATAAAAAATTTTTTTAAAGAATGTATTTTCATGTTTCAATTAAGAATAACTGTCAAATGAATTACAAAATGTTGTAAATTTCTAATAAAGTTTAAAATTTGTTTTAAAAATATAAAAGTATGAAAAATATATAATGGGATTGCATGAGGTCACCCTTCTTCCTCTAAAGTCTCCCATAATAATTTAAAAAGAGGTTTATAATTGCAATTGAGGTTGATTTGTGTGTTTAAGCAACAATCAGGGTTTAGTTTCATTTCTTTGGATATCTCAAGATCTTCCAAGAGATTCATGAGTCTAATGAATGTCTATCCAAAGAAATGAAACTAAACCCTGATTGTTGCTTAAACACACAAATCAACCTCAATTGCAATTATAAACCTCTTTTTAAATTATTATGGGAGACTTTAGAGGAAGAAGGGTGACCTCATGCAATCTTATTATATATTTTTCATACTTTTATATTTTTAAAACAAATTTTAAACTTTATTAGAAATTTACAACATTTTGTAATTCATTTGACAGTTATTCTTAATTGAAACATGAAAATACATTCTTTAAAAAAATTTTTTATGCAAATTTTTACAAATTTCCATCAAGAGATACAATTCTCAATACACTTAAGTATCAGATAACGTAACATTAATACCATGTTTCTTCTTTATATTGTTGTTGAACAATTTGAGCCCTTGTTTCTTAAGGATGGCTGTCAGATTGAACATACATTGACCTTGAGCAATGACTTGAGCGAATTTACAAACTAATGTCATTCTATATGATGTGATGAACACATAAAATTTAATTTAAAATAACTTAATTTTTAGAAAGTCTTTGATGACTATTAGTAATTCCAAACTATTAAATAATTTTGTAAGAATTTAAAAAACAATCTCTATTTCCTATATATGACATTTGTCAACTGTAACTTTTGAAAAATCGTTTAAAAGGACCGACATTTGATTTCATTAGTTCTATTCTGTCTACCTTCTCACATCAATCAATGGTCGGGTTCTTACACCCGTACCATGACAAAAATTTTTTTTCAATTTTTTAACGTGTTTGTGAAGTCCAGTGTCGGCTCTTTATATGTTTTTTATATGTTTTAAGAATTTCAACAACCAAAAAAATCATAATTTTGAAATATAAGGAAATGAGATCTCTCCTTTGTAGTAGTATTTAAAAAATTGACGTAAGTTAAAAATTATAATCTTTACCAATTAGTACTTATAAGAACATTTTATTGTAGCATAGCTCTGATGATGGCTTTGTAAAGCCGAAAGCGCTCAGCTAGGAATTGCCTAAAATATACACACTTCAAAAATACTTTTTTTGCATTTTCTTTCGACTTGTCATAAGTGTGTACAAAAAATATCAGTCTTTTGATTGATTAACAATAAAAATAAGAAAGCTACAATAATATCAGGGACACATAATGGAGGACAGTGAAATGAGATGCTATGATTAATATAACAAAGAAAGAAAGAGAGAGAGTGAAGAAGTGTGAGAAGAAGAGTGTCATGGTTGAAAGATGTTTAAATGCGGTTCAATAGGATTATTTAGAGTAGCTGTAGAAAGAGAGTAAAGATAGTGATAGATGATAATATCCAACTTCCGATTGGGTGACGGTAGTGTACAGTGAACAGACAAAAGTGTACTAATAACGTGGTCTGGGGACTCTGAAATCCCGGAAGTATCGATTAAGACTCCACAGAGGGAGTCGAAATTCAGGATGTAATCCTGAAACTGAGTTAGTTTGATGTATTTTCTAACAATTTTTGAACAAAATTTGATATATGTATGATCTAAAGCAGTTTAAAAAAATTGATTATATATTGTAATTCTTCGATTGCTTGCGTATTTTTTATATGCGGTATGATATGTACTTATTGTTATGTGTTATTCTGTATGTGTATGTAGCAACTGCGCAAGGCAGACCGGCAACCGTCAAGTCAAGCAGCCTCAGCGGGCGCAAATACAAATGCTCAGCCAGTAGCGCCCGCTCCAGGCACCCCTGGTGGCCGTGAAGCCAAGCACCCTTCTGTGTCTCGCTATTGCATGCCTCAGCATGCAACTTACACCCCACCAGATCCTACGGCACGTACATATTCTATCTCTCTATTTCATATTTTGACATGTATCTTGAATTACTGTAAGCAGCCTTATTTCTCGATACAAATTAAGTACAACTATTTTTGAATTAGTAAAAAAGGCTAAAATATGACATTTATTACTTCTTTAATAAACAGTTGTACAGTTCGCTCGTAATTCGGTTAAAATGTGCAGATTTTATGTAATTATTGTATATAAATCTTACTAATCCACACACAATAATATTGACATACGGGAATATATTTACCACAATCATTATACTCTAAAAGTTTGGTGTTATCCAATGTTGTGCATTTGTATACATATAACCTTCTGCTTAACAAAACATAATTTTATTATTCCTGGTCCCTTTTTCCTTCAACCTTTCCATTTCGTATAAAACGTTTCCGCCTATTACCTTATTTAAAGTTACTTAAAAATTTAGCATTTTTATACAGTCCAGCAAATAAAAATGAAATGAGTCATGCGCGTGATCACTAACGTATATCGTATCGTTTAGCTGTCGCTATGACTTTTACCAATAAGCCTGTCAGTAGCAGAGAAAGAATGAGTATATGGTCACTATATGTTTAGTTTTCTCAGAGTTAAGTACATTGTGTGTTAGAAGTATACAAGTGCCTGTGTATTTAACCATATATTTATTTTGTTAAATATTGTTTAGTTGATTCGTCTTCCGGGTTTGGACCGTGTCATTTACGACTTACTTAGGGATACATCCTGTTATAATAGAATTTCTCGAGACCCCACTCCTAGAGTCGAACGCGAAATTTCCCATGCCATCAAACAATCCGATCTTTCCGATGATGTTAGGAAGTCCATAGTTCCGAAAAACTCCATCTGCCCCAGAATTTACGGTCTTCCCAAAATCCATAAAGACAACGTACCTCTTCGTCCCATTGTGACTACGATTAACTCTCCTACCTACAAACTCGCAAAGTACTTGTCGAATCAGTTTAAGACCTATACTGGTCGTACCTCTTCTTATGTCCGAAATTCCACACATTTCATCACCTTAATCTCCTCCCTCACGGTCGATCCCCAAGACATTCTCGTCAGTTTCGATGTATCATCCCTATTTACCAATATCCCCATACATGACTCTCTAGTTGTTCTGCGAGATCACTTGACCAATGATAACAAGTCTTTGGTTTTGGCAGATCTTGCGGAAAAATGCCTCCTTTCAACATATTTTTCTTTTAGAGGCAATTTCTACAAACAAATATCTAGAACACCAATGGGTTCTTTCCTTTCCCCTGTCATTGCTGACATTTTCATTGAAGCCTTTGAGTCTTTAGCCCTAGAATCTTACCCCTTAAAACCAAAAGTCTGGTTCCGCTACGTTGATGATACATTTATCATCTGGCCCCATGGTCAACATACCCTTTCTCCCTTCCTAGATCATCTTAACTCACAACATCCGAGTATAAAATTCACAATGGAAGTAGAAAATAATCGGTCCTTTCCCTTTCTCGATGTGTTAGTCACCTCCAAGCCCAATGGCCGATTGGGTCACTCTGTTTATAGAAAAAAGACTCACACGAATCGTTACCTACATGCTTCATCACACCACCATCCTGCCCAAAAGAATTCTGTGATCAACTCTCTCATCCATCGGGCCATTTCGATTTCTGAACCTGACAACCTTAGAGAAGAACTTGGCCATCTGCAAAAAACCCTTGTCGCCAACGGTTTCTCCAAGTCCACAATTCAAAATATTACACACCGACATCTACATCCCTCTTTACACCCTAGGACGACAAATTCAGAATCTTCGGGTAATACTCCTGTGGCTTTTCTTCCGTATATTCGAAGTGTCACTGATAGGATTGGCAAAATTCTTCGCAAAGAAGGTATCAGGACTACTTTTCGACCACCCAAGAAAATCTCACAATATCTACCCTCTCCTAAGGACCCATTACCGCCCCTATCTTCCTGTGGTGTCTATTCTATTCCTTGTTCATGTGGACATGTGTATATTGGCGAAACTGGTCGTTCCGTCAAAACTCGGATTCAAGAGCATCAAAGATGCATTCGATCAGGTATTTTCTCCCATTCCGCAGTTGCAGAACACTGCCAAGAAACCGGTCATTCCATATTGTTCGAAAAAACCCATATTATTTCTAAGAGCCCCTTCTTTTATTCCAGGAAAATCCGCGAATCTCTAGAGATCCGAAAAAATCCACATAATATCAATCGAGAGGAAGGATACTACTTGTCTCCCATCTGGAATCTCAGTCTAGAGCCGCCGTCCGGTCCCGTTTCTTGACGTTCGCACCACGGAGTGTGCCGATACGTCCCGACACAACAGGTCACCGCGACTATAAATAGAGCGGTAGCGGAGTAATCGTCGGATTCACTCCCCGCCTCTCGACGCGTTAGTGTTCTGAGCTGTTGGACGTGAATCCCTGTCCTGGCATTTGGTTTTCACCTCTGGCTGCGTTGAGTAGTTGAGTTACTGTGACCAAATGCCCATCTTGGTAGTTAGTATTCGCCTCTGGTTGCGTTGAGTAACTGAGTTACCGTTGCTAACTACCCATCTTCCTGTCTTGATTTCTTTTTCTTTGTTCTCCTGAAGAAGCTACATACAATTGTAGCGAAACATCGAGATGAACCCACTTTTGGGTCACTCACAAATGACACGTTCCAAACCCGGAAGACGAATCAACTATAATTCTGACTCTGGCCGTGGAAGCCTACGATTTCATTTAAATATTGTTTAATTTGATAAAAATGAAGGCAGCTAGTAGTAGCAGGGAGAGTATAAATTTGAAAAGGTCTCGCAAACAGTTAGTTCTTGAAGCTAAAAAAATAGTGTCTCTTTTCTCTGTTTGCTTGGTTTAATGGTATATCAAGGTGCGTCTCCCTTAAGCTTTTCCTTGAAATATTCTGTTTATCTTCTTAGTTTTTCTTACTGTTCTATCAATTTATTAATCTCCTTATCTCTTTACATCTTTTGTTTAAATTCCCTTCTGCTTTTGTTCAGGTTCTGGTAAAATTTTCTTGTCTCTTTGGCTTACTTAGTTCTTGTAGTTTTTGAAATTCTTTGTTCATATTTTCTCTCTTCTTTCTTTTGTTTATTTATTTTTTAATACTATTTATTTATATTTTTTTAATTCTATTTAAATTTCTGCTCTCGTTGTCGGGTTCTGTGTCCCTGTTGCATCAGTAAATATGCTTTGTTTTCTCTTTCTCTTATAATCTGACATTCTTCGTCAAACCAGTTATCCATTCTTGTTCTTCTTTGTTTACCTTCCATGCCTTGTAATTCTTCAGCTGCTTATTTCATGGTGTTTCTGCACCCTTCCAGTCTTCATTTATGTTTTCATGCCTTAATCTATTTTTTAGTTTGATGGTAATATTTTGTTTATATTACCCATTTTGGTTGTTCTTTTACATTGCATTGGACAATGCAATGTATGGAACCATGTTGGAACCATATGAAACCATATGGAACCATATGGAACCATATATTTATGGAAGTGTTTAGAACCTATTCCCTTTTATATGTTGAAAATTCCGGCCCTTACTCTACTTTCGACCTGGTAGTGATCATAATCCGCATCTGTTTCTCTTTTGGTGTGGACGTTTATTATATTCGTATACAATATACAATACAATATATAAAATAATCTGTATACAATAGATAAAATGATCTATCATATTTAGTTCGTCTGGTGATTTCCAGGTGCTTTATATTTTTTCGATGGAAGTTAAAATTATACAATCGGTAGCAAAAAAACTACTATAAAAAAGAAGACTTTTTGAAATCAGAACATCAAAAATATTTAAAATTCGTTATTTCTCAAGCACCAAGATTTTTCATTTTGTTGGGCTGTGTTATCATTTCTGTTTCATATCATGCAAGTCAAACGTTTCTTCTATATTCCAGTTCTTCCTAAGGGAGAATTTTCAGTTTTTTATTGACGCTTGTAAAATGAAAGTATTTGCCTCATTGCGTAGTTGCAGAAATCGTTGATTTAGGTGCTAATTCAGCTGTTGATTAATCTGTTGTATGTTTATTTTGCTGTATAAACACTTTTTGACATAATGTAAGGACGTTGATCAATTCCGCTAATAAATAGATTAACTCAGTTATTTTGACACTTATAACAATTAAATTTTTATAATGAATAAACTTCGTATCATGGCAATTGCCTGTCGTGCTGTTTACTGCCGGATACGTCTGATCAATTGCGAGGAGGATTGTACTTGTAACAATATAATTCATGAAAACTTAGTTTATAAACTAGATCTAATGTATTATTTTTATTATGAAAAGAAGAAATATAATATTCTATTGTTACAATGTAAAGTGACTAGAAATAAAGCATTTTCTTACGCGCTACCAAGGTTCGAATTCAAAATTTCCGAAAATTCAGGATCGACACGTGATTTCGGCTATTTTTGACCGTCACTACGCGTGATTTTGGATGAATAATTTTATTTTTTGTTTGCTAGATTATAGTTATGCGAATTCTTTATTAGTTTCCAAGATTTCTAACATTTAGTTCGTTCGGTACGTAGGATCAACTAATTGAATAGATATAGAATCTTCGCCTAAGCTTAAAAAATAAGCTTATCTCATCTGTATTATTTTTACATATGGCAACTCCTGTAGAAAAACTTCCAATAAGGAAAGCCATAGAAAAATAATAACTAGGAATTCTTAACAATAGAGTTCACGCCCTAACCACCATCCAACGTGGAAGATCTTCATCCTGGAACAACACCAGATCAACTCTCAAGAAACAAGGGAACAAACAGATGGGGTCAACAGTTTATCCCAGTTAATCTTATACCAAGCGAAGAAATGAATCACTAAAAAGCACTAAACCGACAAATTTTCCACAGCAAGATAAATCACTGTGCAACTTTTTGCATTCGATTCGGAAAAGTATCAGGAAAGTTTGTGAACAAAATTCATGGTAGTACAATAAAAATTGCATTTTGTGCATAAGGAAAATGCATTTACAAAGGACTAGAAA